CTCAATAGTCTGACCTGCTCGGTTGCAGGGGGTTGGCCTAACCCGAGGGCGCAGGGAATAAGGCATTACTGTCTCATTCCTGATGCGGCTGCGCACAGCAGGTGCCTTTTGAGCAGCACCGGGCTCTTTGGTTTTAAAAGTATTTCGACCGTATCGGATAATGCGCTGGCGGTCACGGTCAACCGTTGGGCGATCGGAGTGTGCGGTTTTTGGGGCCGACCTTTTCTAACCCGTCCTTCCTCGGGGGAAGGCAGCATCGCTGCTTCCATAAATATGGACATGCTGGTCGCCTGGGGGAAACACCTTACTGCCTTCACACTCCTGTCGCAGAGGACAGTACAACTTTACCCCCAGACCGCCCCGTGCCACGATTGCCCGTAGTGCGGAGTCGCGCTGCTCTTGGTCTGGCTGCTCCCCTTTGGTCTTCCTGGCATGGTTGTACCTTGTGGAACGAAGTTCCAGCCAGTGTAGCCCGCGGGATCATTGCAGCACGCAAGCCCGACCACCACGTCAAGGTGGCAGCTTTAGGTCGGGCCGTTGACATTCGCCAACAAGCTCACAGTGTCTGATTAATGTGCAGTTTTTCTGGTAGTTACCATCCTGTTTACTGTTGTACCATTTGGTCCACTCATATTACTCCTTTACGGTGTATTTAAAAATGGACGTTGTTAACGAGTATGTCTGCTATCTGATCTGTTAATTTCATATGTAATTCATCCAACCGTTAACGCTATTAGCGAACTTCCTGCACAACTTTGACAGTTGGTCAGAATCTGAAACGTTGGACACTTTGGTTTAGTTACGGTAGACCACTAATAAGCAGGTCAAGTATATATACTGTAGGGGGAAAAACAAACGCCCCGTAACATGATAGTAGTATTAACTTGCAACGATCTAAATTCGGCATATTCGCTGCGTTCGCGTTTAAGCGGTTCGAAAACATTGATGTTTCTCGCTTCATTTCGCCTTAGAGCACGTGATGCGGTATGCATACATGCGGGTGCTTCCTGTAACTTTAACCTGTATGGCTGTAGTTTTGTGCCTAAGCAAATTTTTTTGGCCTGGCTTAAAGTGAACTGATGACAGTCGAATGGGGTTGCTCATGACTAAATCACAGCTGACTTGTAAATGCTGCTCAAGTTTTGGTGTATCGATGTGGTCTCAGCGGACCTGCCACAACCTGTAGGTTAATGATCATATTAGTGCCCCATCATCCCATGTAGTAAATTAATGACAGCTCGCTATCCGTATTTGTGCAGTCCTTGGGACAGTGTACAGGTGAACAACCAATCGAAATAGTTAATCTAAGCAGAGGCCGAAGAATAATTGGTGCATAGCTTTCCGGTACACACAGGTTTAGGGGATGTTCCAACATTTCTGTGCGCCTAAGGAAGAAGAATTGGGCAAAAGGTTCCGGTACACACAGGTTTAGGGGATGTTCCAACATTTCTGTGCGCCTAAGGACCACACGCTGATGCAGTGATGTAACAAGCCGAACCTGTAACGCTTTAGAAAATCGGCCGCTACAGGGCTGTAAACAATGCTATACCGCCATCAATAGGTTTTCATTCATACTTTACAAAATCCGTCAGCACTAGGCCAACAGTCTTCCTTAGCACATACACTGTGTTTACTTTGCGATGTAATGTTTTTTCGCAGACTATATTGTATATACAGACAGTTCCTTGTAGGTCACAACGCTGTTCACTTAGACGAGAGCAGCTGGCGGCCCTAAATTGACACAAAAAACATACATCGATGAACCTCTTACAGCTCGCAGAACCGTAACATGGCGTCTGACTAAATAATCAGTGAAACATATCGAAACATTCTGTTTGCTGTCAAGCTTAGCTTTGGTCGTTCATAAAAAAAAATCATCGTCATCACGTGTCTCTGGTCTGGTCAGGTTTAATCAGCTGCCAAGGGCAGACACCGAATGCTAATGGTCCTAGTCCTGTACGCTAAGTTCAACTTGACTGATCGATTAACTCGTTGAAAAGTTGATCCAGCGATACTCTGACCTAGCTGGATTTGAGCGTGTGATTTTCTTTAGTCTTCTGCAAATAGCCTGTCATAACAGTCTTCCCATCAGGTGTCATTTCACGTCTCGTCACGCTCAGCTTCAAATTTTTTCTAGTGGGCCACGTACACGTATCACCTTTTTACTTTACGAACCCGTTCACAAACTCATTTCTCCGCATCAAATGTTTTCCTCCTAAGTATTTAATTCGATTTTTCACAGTCAGAAACGGACCCCGTTCACTCATTTCTCCGCATCAAATGTTTTCCTCCTAAGTATTTAATTCGATTTTTCACAGTCAGAAACGGATACCTCAGAGCCAGCCCTTCCCTCTTTTTATTCTCTCTCTCTCTCTCTCTCTCTCTCTCTCT